CTCTTCCATAAAGACCGTATGTCTAGAAAAATATAGATGTTTTTATAATGATGGCACGCTAACAAATGAGTCTTCCTATAACTAGTACTAAAGCAAATTTTATATGAAAATTTGTATCTTGGTAAAATCTAGAGCTGGCTATAAATATATATTAATTTAACCACACTTGAATTACAATATATGCTGTGGAGACATCAGTTAGATATTTTTAGAAACACATATTCTAATTAGTGTCATATATAATTCCTGAAAAATAAATTTTTATTCTATATATCAGCAGAATTTTGCAGGTATGTGAGACATGAAAGTTAAGGGCAGAAATCTGAGGTGTGCATACTGAGTGAGATAATAAGAATTTAGGAAAAGTGTCAAAGGTGAAGCATACAAGAGCTGAGGGAATGGCAGAACTAGAGGTGGCAGCTTTTAGTGGTGACCCATGACAAAATCAAGGGCCAGCAGCACAGAACTGAGAGGGACACTGAGTGAGCAGCTGGTTGTGAGGACAGAGACTCCTGAGACAGAACACTGGACAGAGAGGTAGAGGCACAGCCAGATTCCACAGGCAGCAGAGGAAACCAAGACAGTAATTGTGACCCTTGGATCAGCAATGATGAAAGGAAGTGTTGCTGCAACCTTCCAGGTTGCCGCATCTGGAAAGAGCAGTGTGGACCTCTGTGACTTCTGACCTCTTAGTCCATGTCTCACCAACATGCAGATGTCCTGAACTCCATGTCCTCCCCCAGGGGCAGGAACAGCCAGTGCCGAGGCCAGGGCCAGAGGAAGTGGAGACAGCTCTACAGTCTGCAGCCCTGGCTGGCGAGGGCCTCACCTCACTGCCAGATCTAGAACAGTCTAACTCTCTTATGAGTAAATAGTGGTGCAAAGGCCCTCCAGAGGCACACAGAGTGTGACAAGTAATGCTGCTGCCACTGACATTGTCCCCCGCCCCAAAAAGGAGAGTGGTATTTTCAGATGATGGGCCTGGGAGAGTAGAAAAGGGAAGTGTACCTACAAACGAATGATTTAGAATCATAAGTGCATTTAGCAAGGACTTTCAACACAAAGTCAATAAATAAACAAATATTGATTGAACAATCACATGTTAACAAAAAGTAAATAGCTTTATAAACCATAATGCACTCAGCAGTAGACCTAATGATGCAAGGCCCTCACAACAAACTATAAAGCATTAGGGTAATGCCTTACTTAAATAGAGTACTATATTACACTCATTGCTACAAAGACTCAAGAATACAGAAAGTCCAGTGCTCCTTCCAACTCATCTACATTCAACAATATCCAAGTTAAAATATCAGCAAGTGATTCTAAATTGTGTATATATGTAAGGTGTCAGGAATAGTCCAGAAAATATTGAAGAAGAATAACAAATTGGCAAAGCTCCCTTCAACTAACAGATATATAATTAATCTGTATTAATTGAGGCAGCATGAAAATTTGCATTAGGAAAACCAAAGGAACAATGGGAAAAGCTGCAAGGTACAGGAGGAGCACACACAGACACACAAAAGGTTTGATTTACTATTAAGATGAAACTCTGAGTCAGTGAAGGAGTAAGTTGCAGCTATTTGAGTCAAACTGCTATCTGCATAGATTTTTTTAAAAAATGACCCATAGCTGGGAGTGGTGGCACACACCTGTAATCCCAGCACTCAGGAGGCTGAGGCAGGAGGATCACTGAGTTTGAGGCCAGCCTCCTGAACTACATGGCGAGGCCAGCCTCCTGAACTACTTGTCTCAAAAAATCAGAACAAAACAAAAATTACCAATAACTCATTGACTGTTAAAAAAAAATCAGCTGTAGTTTGAAGTTGGCTCTAAATATAACATACAAAATAGTATAAGTTCTGCAATATAACATAGCAGAGAATCTTTACAATATTACCATCAAGAAAAGTTTTTTTAAAAAAGTATTATAGAATGGCCAGTAAGCTTAAAGGAAGATCTTGATAAGTTGAATTACCCATAAAAATGAACTCATTCCCTTCCTCAGTTTCAAAGAGGAAAAAGACAGGTCACCAAGTCAGAGACATTTGCAGCACATGACAGCAAAGGAACCAGTACCCAGATGAAATGAAGAACTTCTGCAAATCAATAAAAACACAGCTAAGCAAACATACAGGCAAGAAACGTGAACAGATACATGACAAAAGGGAATTTTCAAATTACCAAAGAACTTTATTAATTTATAAGGGGATAAAAAGGGGAAAAAATGCAAAGACAAAAATGACAAGTATGGGGGGCTGGGGATTTAGCTCAGCGGCACAGCGCCTGCCTGGCAAGTGCAAGGTCATGAATTCGATTCCCGGTACTGGAAAAAAAATGGCAAGTATGCAAAGCAAGGCCTGTGAACGTGTGGTGCCAATCTAGTGTAAGTCAACTTAATCACTTTGGAAAACAAGTGGAATTACCTAGAGAATTTGAAGAGTAATATGCTTTAAAATATAGCACTTCTACTCCTCTTGATTAATACTCTATAAAGTTTGCTGAGTTGCTGTGCAATGTCAGAAACACTATTGGGGTTTTATAAATCCTTACTCATTTATGTCTCCTAAGAATACTGTCGATACTATTCTTACCATTTATGGAGCAGTTACATAGATGGCCTAATGTCACATTGATAGATAGTATCAATAGGAGGGAGTGTCCCACTCTAATCTGTCCACTTTCAGGGGTCAAGCATGAGCTTTATCCTGTCCTCACTGCATGTATGTAGTAATCACAGGGAGCGACCATCTTCCCAGCAGTTCACAAGTGACAGACATTGTCCCTCCCCCAGGTTGTCTCCAGCCATCCTGCTTGAAGCCGTGCAGCTGCACCTACTGGGGCTGTTTCTTGACCTCCAAGTGGAATGAATGGGGAGAGTGAAGAAACTGGTGCCTGTGTAAGAGCCCTTAGATGGTGGGTGACAGGAGCTAGTGGAGGAGTACTCCCATTTCCTTTTATCTGGGTGCATCACTTTACACCTGTCTCTCTGAAGTCCCCAACAAGATTAAGCCCTGTTTACATACTTTCCCCACATCTGTATCACTTCCTGCTTTTCTGCTGACCCACCTGGTATCATCTTCCAAATAAACCACTTGACTGGAATTCTGTTTTCAGTGTGAAGGTGGGAACCTATGTTGACCAGCTTTCCATCACTATAACAAAGTACCTGAGCTAAGGAACTTACAAGGAGAAAAGGTTTATTCTGGCTCAAAGTTTTTGAGGTTCCAGTCCATGATCCATTGATGCCACAGTGTTGGATGTGTGATGCTGCTGCACACTGAGGCAGGAGTATGTGACAGGGTACACTTCCCTGCATCCTGAGCCCCAAAGCAAGCAACATAGACAAGGGGCTGGGGTGCCACCATCCCCTTTGAAAACCCACCCTAAATCACAAAAGACCCTAGACGTAGCTCAACCTTCTGAAGCTTCCACCCCACCACCACTACTCTGGGGGCCAAGCCTTTAAGACGCAGGCCTTTTGGAGATATTGGACATCTAAACCACAACAGAACTCAACCCAAATAAATAACAACTTTACTTAAAGACAGTAAAATTGCCACTTTCAGCATCTGAAACAACGTGCACTATTTAATATTAACAGACACCAGGGACTTGCTATTCATCATACACTGGAGGAATAAGTCATGTATGAATGATTTCCTATAACTTTGATCCAGAAATTTGTCAATATGCTTGAATTTTCTACTATTAAAATATATTGGGCCTGGGATACAGCTCAATGGCACAGGCTCCTGCCTGGCAAATGCAAGGTCCTGAGTTCAATTCTCAGTACCAATAAATAAATTAATAAATATATTATTTTGATGTTAATGAAGTAGTTGTCAGATTTTTAGGAAGTAGCATAGATCTAAAAAACAATTAGAACTTCAACATACAATTCACAAACAAGCAAAGAGTCTTTCTCGATAAAAAGAATGAGACCCAGCACTCTGCCCACTCAGTTTTCATACCTTGAAGGCCTCTCAACTCCAGGACATAAAGTCAGAACACTTCCGTACCCTAGGACTGCATGGCCAAGGAACTGTTTCTGTAAAGATGTAGACCCAAGGCTGGAGAAGAAGCTCAGTGACGGTGTTAGTGTGAGCAACACCCTGAGTTTGAGCCTCAGTGCTGCAAAATAATAATGAGAATAAATTTATTAAAATTTAAAAGTGATCCTGCTGGAAAAATTAGTATCTTCATTTGTTAAAATGTAAAGCACAAAAGGGGAGTGTAGGCCAATGTGCTGGTATTACAACCAGGGTCTTTGTTCTTTTCATCTAAAACCTCTGTAGAATTAACATTATTAAACAATTGCAGAAAAGAAACAAATTCAAATTAAAACAACTGAGATTCCATCTCACCCCAGAAAGAATGTTAGTGGTAGATTTCTTGCTGAAAGAAATGCTGGCAGGGCTGTGGGGAAAAAGGAACCATTGTTGGTGGGAACATAAACTGGAGCAACCACTGTAGAAATCAGAGTGGAGATTCTTCAAAAACCTGGGAGTGGAGGTCCAATTTGACCTAGCTATTCCCCATCTGGGTATTTTTCCAGAAGAATTAAAAACATCATGCCACAATAATATATGTGCACCCATGTTTATAGCAGCACAATTTGTAATAGCTAAATCTTGGAACAATGCAAATGCCTATCCACTGAAGAATGGATAAAAAAATGTGGTATTTTTATACAATGGGGTGTAAATAGGATCCAAAATCTACAATAGATATTGTGAAAGGAAAAGAAACTGCTCAAAAGGAAAGAACAATAGGAATGGCTGAAAGGAGAATAGAAGGGAAAAGAAAAAAAAATCTATATGTATACAAAAGATAGTTATACTACCTATTTCTTTTAGTTCATGGAAAAAAATGGCTTGTGCTTATATTGCTTGATCAATTATACATGCCTATATCTTGCAATCTGAGCACTACTTGGAAGATAACCATATGCAGTGTATTAACTACTATTAATCTCTTATTTTCTTGTTTTGAAATCCTATATCATTGTCTTTATTTTTTCCTTTTTCTTCCCTTTAAAAGGAAAAAGAAAAACAAACAAAGTCTACATGGGGCTAAGACACACAGAGATGATGGTGGTGATGATGATGGTGATGATGACGATGAGACTGGACCCTCCTCTTGGCAGTGTCAGAGCTCATATACACTGCCACAAGAAAGCTAATTTTAACAGAAACAGGGAAAAAAAGACAAGGATGTTTCATTTGTTATTAGGGTGATTGAGCCAAGGTGAAACCAGGATGAGGCAGCCAAGGAGAGTTACACAAGAGAGGATGTCATCCAGTGGTTCCCTTCACAGCAGCCCTGTGACAGACAGGGCTGGCAGGCAGGCAGGAACAGCTAGGGCAAGCTGCGTCACATTCGTGAGCTCCACCAGGAACAACCTGCCCGGTCTGCGCAGTCTGTCTGCACCACCTGAGCACCGGCCCTTGTCACCCCTGCCCTGGTTGTGTCTCGTGAGTGGGCCGTTAAGGAGCACAGCAGAGAACGGAGACAAGCGGGAAGGCTCAGTGCAATAGCCCAGGCAAGAGGCACTGGCTGCTTGGATGTGGTGGTGGTCTGAATGCTACGCAATTCTAAGCCCCAGGACAATGATATTAGAAGACAGAGCCATTGGGAGATACTTAAGTCATGAGGGAAGATCCTTCAGGAATGGAACTCTTGCCCTGACAAAAAGAAGCCTAAGGGGAAATCCATTTTCCTTTACACTGTGAGAAGACAGTGAGAAGATATCTTTTACAAACCAGGAAGTGGGTCCTCACTGGGCACCAGTTCTGCCAGTGCCTTGATCTTGGAATTCCCAGCCTGCAAGTGTGGGAAAGCAATGCCTGTTAGATATAAGCCACCCAGTCTATGTATGTTGTAGCAGCCCACATGGACTAAGACATATGTAAGCAGTCCAAATGCAGAGCAAGTAAAAATGGAGAGAAATAGAAAGAATGGGATATAATCATGGTGATAAGTTGAGGGTGAGGCAGATATAGGGAAGATGGGTGATGTCAGTTTCTGGTTTGGTCCACAAGGTATACCAGAGTGCAGATGGGAAGGCTGGGTTAGGAAAGATAGGGAAGGAGAGAGTAAGAAAATTTGGAAATCAAGAGTTCTATTGATTTCTACTGGGACCAGTGCCCTACGACACACATGTGGAGACATCAGATAAACAGCCAGCAGCAGCTATAGAGGACAAAGGGAAATGCGTTGTCCACCAGAGGGGAAGAAACCAAGATGTGGGGAGAGATAGCTGCTTGACCTAAGACTCAGTGAGAAGTTGAGGACATAGAGTGACTAAAACTCAAATGTACTCAAAACAGAAATGTACTGGGTGCCTGTCAACCTTTGTAGTAAGCAAAGATGAATCCATCAGAACAGAAATAAATGGGGAGACAGAGTGGATACTATTGCAGCTAAGTTGGTGGATCAAGTGATGGAAGTGGAGGGAGTTTTATCTCACTCTTCAGATTCATCATAGGTAAATAAGGCAAAGTCATCAGTCAGGAGAAGCAGGAAGCTGGCAAAGGCAATGTTGGATGACAAAGAGACAGATAGGTGTGGAAAATCATGCTGGAGAACAGCTGACAACACTGGGTTTTGTAGTAATCTAAGAATTTTGAGCTATCTGAGAATCTGAGAATTTAGTTGAAATTCAGCTGGACCACATCAATGTGTTTTTCCCCAACAAGCCCACGTCATTGGATGCTTATTTGAAATAGCTGGACAGTTAACAAACATGATAAAAGGAGAGTGAAGGGAGAGAGTCAAAGGTGCTTCCCGGAGTGGTTTAAGGACAGCAGCAGATTTCTCTGGGTAAGGAGGAGGTGAGTTTACCTGGTCTCCTTGTGTGATACATTCCCAGAATTGTTCTAATGAGCTCAGCCCTTGTGCAGTCCTGCCATCTCCCTCAGGGTGGCGCCCTAACCTCGCTTTCCCATCCATACTAACTATTAAGCAACCATTTGCAGGCCAACTTTGCCCCAATATGGCCTTAAGCTCTGCAGCTCCTTTGAAACTACTCTTCCTGCGCTATCAGGGCCTCCACATTCCCAGAGGCACAGCCTTGCTCCGCCCATCTGCCCTTGCCTCTCTCTGACTCCGCGGATTCTGCACATTGGCTTTGCCCCATGTATGTCTGCTTTGTTGGTCTTCCTTCATTCCTTCATCTCTTTCTCTGACCCTGCTACTTCCTGTAACCTTCTTATTACATTGTTCCAAAGTCTCTTTCCTTCGCACCCTGCGTATTCTCATCTGTGGAACCCTGCCAAGTCAGTCTCTCCCAGGACCTCAACTCCTCAGCACCCACACATATCTTTTGGTTTCATCATCTGGCTGTGCCAGAGTGCCACTGACTCTCACACCCTCCCACTCGCAGTTCTCTGGAGTGTCCTTTCCCCAGTGATGCTGGCCTGAGGCTAGGGTTGCCTTTCCTTTAGAAGTGTAAACCTGAACACTGATTCCATTTTCACAGGTCAAAGTTCTCCCTACTCTTCAATGGCCAAATTAAAATACTGTTGACCATGAGATGAGTTGTCCTTGTGTTCTCTGACCTGCAGTAGCAAGCATTCCTGCACTATCTTAGCACTTCTGCCATACCAGATTGCATCTCTTTGCATATGACTCCTGTCTTACTTTCTCTTGTCACTGGGACAAAATACTCAACACCTGTAGTTTAAAGGAGGCGAGGTTTACCTTGGCTCACAGTTGCAAGAGTCTTGGTCTTTGTGTGGTCAGCTGTCTTTAAATACATGTGGCACAGCAGAGGGGCATAGTGGAGGAGAATAGCTGCTCATGTCAGGGTGACCAGAAAGTAGAAAGACAAGACAAGAACCAAGGTGGGGGATGTACCCTTCCAGGTCAAGCCCTTAGGGGCCCACCTCCCCTGATGGACCCCACACCCTAACAGCAGTCAGTTAGTGCTCCCGTGGTCTGACTTCTTTCCAAAGCCCCATCTATGGGAACATGAGGGTCTTGGGGAACAGCTATACCTCAAGCACAGCAGCTCCTTCTCCATTACTTGTTCTTACTTCAGAAAGAACTCTTCCCAAGTCCAAGCTCATCTATAGTGTATCTTTGAAAGACCTTACTATTTCCAGAAAACTATTACTGAGCAATGAACAAATGTATGCACTCTGTGGGCTGGCAGTCACTGTCACAGATTGGATTCACGCTGGGCCAGCTGCCGGCTACAGAGAAGCTCACTCTGATCAAGGCAGTCAGTGGTCAGTGGTCAGACAGGAGCTCAGTTCAAGATGGGAGAAACATTCCTAATGCAGATCTTTCAAAGTAGGTCAGAGTGAGAGAACTAGATTGTGAGTTGTTATATAATCACAATAAAGGACAAATTTCACAAATAAAGAGGGACAGATTTCTAACATGACAAAAATAGCAACTGATAACAAACATGTCAACTTTGATTTCCTGGGAAATATTGTTCTTTTTATTTGGTGTTTATTGTGTGCTCACAAATACTCACCTGAAAATATTTTTAAAGGGAAATTTTTGGAGTACTCTGAACAATGTAAAAGTGAATACATTCTATTTTTGAATTCCTACACCTGGCTGCAATAGGAAAAAGCTTTCACGTTAATCAGCAGGAATGTTCCAGATTCAAGAAGCAATTCAATTTCTTTTTATATGGACTGCTTTTTATAGCACATGGCTTACTATTTACGTAGGCTATGAGAACAGCCATCAATACCAGGGCCAAGCCACCCCACGGCAGGCAGCAAGGAGCTCCATCTGGAGAAGAGGAAGTCTTAGGGTCCATGTTGTTTATCCACTGGTAGAAGCAATTACCACCAGTTTGAGTTTATCAAACTCAAATCCTTGGTATTTAGAACCCAGGAGGCCTAGTGAGCCCTCTCCTCGTGTGTGTGTGTGTGTGTGTGTGTGTGTGTGTGTGTGTGTGTGTGTGTATTCTAAGTAACTCAGAATAGAGGGACCAATATGCTCTCAGAATGGCACTTTAAACCCCACCTATCATAGAGGGGAAGGTGGAGTGGAAAAGGGTGTAAAACAGAATATGTTATGTTCATGTACCAACTCTCCACAATGAAAGTAATCAATCATTATGAATTGCAAACATGTATCAGTAAAAATAAGCTTTAAAAATCCTACCC